ATTTTTAAGCTAAATGTGTTTGTTTTCTCCATAGAGTCTCTCCATCTGGTGATTAAAGATATTTGAAGTCTGGTAAAATGTTAGCTTTTCATACTGAAGGGAGTAACTTTCCTGAATGTAGGTTTGGCTTGCATAGATGAATCATGATATAGACATGCACATGCACGCACACAATATCAGGTTAAGCTCATGGTATTAGACAGACAAGGGATTCAGACTTTAACAAAGGGTAACATTTATTTGCCCAGATTATGTGATTTTCAGAGTAAAACGAGTTTTACCTGATGAAGAACATGCTCAAGTGAATGACAGATTCTGCTTATTTGAACAAGTACTCACATTGCCATTTGGGAAATGTAGCTACCTTTACCAGGAAAAGGAGAACGCAGATAATTTTTTTCTTCACGTACCATGTCCTAGTCAAAAACAGTATGACAGTTTTTTCAACAACAGACAAATGAGATCTGATCTCAACTAGAAATCTATATTTGATGAAGAATCTCAATTGAATTGGATACATTTTATGTACAAGTGTTGATTATGTTTCTGTTGATTACTGTGATTTCAAAATTTTTCTTGAATGCCTGAGTCATGAGATGGCTCCACATCAGACTGAGTTTGTCCCAGAGATTAGCCAAGTTATTTCTGGCTCTGCATATAGACTTGAAGGAATACGGCATATGCCACACCATATCTCAAAAAACAGAGCTTTATCTATTGCATGTATCCATGCAATACTCATGTTTTTCCATTGTATCAGTCTTTATGGTCACCTGGAGATATAAAACTTTCAAAACTATATATTGATAGCTATAACAAGTCTTAGAATTATTACTAGTAAAACAAGAATAGCTGGGGACCCTAAAACTCTGTAAACATATGAGAAAGCTTTCATCAGAAAGCTTACAATATAAATGAAAGATAGAAGAAAAGTATTCAGTAAGCGAAATAGAAAAATGCAAAGTAAAATGGGTAACATGGCTAGACGATAGTTATTCTGACAAAGATAAATTTTGAAGAATGCTCAAAAAATGAATTAAAATATACTTGATTCTTGGATCTTATTGTTAGCTTTTTTCCCAAAGGATATTCTGCGTGAGCAATGGGAATTATAGCTCAAACAGATTATCTGGGGAACCCAGCAAATGAGTTATGAGTGTAATTTTAAATAAACTGATCAGTACATAAAAGCATACAGGAGGATGTTGATAAATTAAAAGTATTTGCAAGAAACACATAGAATAATTTTTTAAAGGAATATTTATTTTCAGTTCCATTTGAACAACCCACTTTTGTAACACATACTAAAATCTTTAGGAAACATTCTAAGAAATTTCAGGGGTGAATTAAATGCATTTCAAATCTCAGATTAAAATACAGAATATGTTTGCATCATTCTGCATTTTATTATGTTGCTGACTTTTACGTTAAAAATATATGACTGACACTCTTTATACCAGTAAGCCATTTTATTGGAAAAAAAAAAATAATTATTGCATTAAACTACATTCCCAGAAATTCCTTGAATAACCTAAAAAAAAGAAAAAGCCGCATTGCATGTACAATAGTGCAATTAACTTAGCTACTGTATAATATAAAACACTTTATACAGAGAATACAAAACAAAATTACTAGTTTACATCTTATACTAGCCAGAGTATTATCCAGTTTTAAATTCAAACTTAACAGCTTTAAAATCAATGTGGTCAAAGGCATTTTTATGCAAATTTGAACAAAAAATATGTTAAATGTATTCCAGAAGAGCCTCAGTTACCAAATAAAGAAAATAAAAATTAAGAACTTTCATCATTATGGAACTTCAAAAATGTTTGTTATTAGACTTTTGCAGTGTGGGTGACCTGTTTCCTTGGACTATGCAAGAAGAATATACAATCAAGCTAAAAGAGGTTATTAACTTGAAATGTATATATCTTTGCCACCTGAATACTGTAACTCTTCTAAAAATTAGTATAAATAAAATCAGAACTGAAGTATGGCTCCAACCATCAGGCTCAATTATGCTTTTAATAATAATTATATAAAGTACATTACTGATGAAAAATAAATATGGAAGCAAATACATCATCTCAGCTGTGCTGGTGTTTTTATTACGTTTCTCCAAGAAAATCTCTTCTGTGTACTAAGAACTATACTGGACATTCCCTTTGTTGGTAGTTTTGCTATTGTGCTGTTTCTGTCACTTTTTAATCTCAGTTTTTTTCCATCTACTATCAAAATCATAATCCCCGTTGCTTCATGAATTAAATTTTTATTGTCTTTTCATTCACCTTGTGAGATCATCCTTGTTGGTATATACAATGATGTATGGACATCCTATGACTTGGTTTCCATTTTATTGCACATACAGTGAGAGTAATGTATTTGCTTCCCATAAATGGATTCTCTTAAGTTTCAATTGATGAGGTTTCTTGCCATAGCAATTTCTGCAGTAGTAATTTTGCCTGTAAAAAAGAGGGATGAAAAATAAGTGTGCATGTGTAAGATGAGATTTGTTTGTCTTTTTTCCTTCCTATTTTTTTCTCTCAATGTTATCCACTTAGGATTGAAGTGAACTACTACAGACAGTAAGAGTAGTTGGTTTATCTTGAGTGGGAGTGGAATTGTGCCTGCAAATTAAAAAAAAAAAAAATGTAGGGCTTGAAATGCATATTTTAGGTTGATATTAGCCCTGAAACTGATAGGGGTGCAGTTCAATCAGCCTCAGAGCACAGGTTGACCTGCTCCTTTTAAATGTAGTTATATCTCTGTAGAAACACTTTGAATTGTACAAGTGAACCACCAGAGAGAGAATTCAGTCTGAGGAATCGAGAAGTCATGTTCAGAGTCAATAAGTTATATTCAGTGAAGTAAGGTTGTTTTTCAGAAAATGATATTTTGAAAGTATGGAAATTATATGTACATTCAAATCTAATTTGGGGAATATTTTCAGCCAGAAAAAAAAAGGCAGGATTTTAAAACTATGGAAACATTTATTTTTATTATATTTTCAAAAGAAATTTCTGACTTTCTAACTTCTGAAGTAATAATTTCATTTGAAAAAGAACCCTGCAAATAAAATAGGAAAATTAATGAAGAGAAGTAACTCAAAAAATACCATGAACCCATTCTGTAAATGAAATGAATAAATCAACTGGGAATGCAACGAAAAAGACATTTGAGGATGCTGGTTTCTTCAGTCTCTTTTTTTCATAACAGAATGTTTTACTTCTACTTGGTCTCCAAAGTTTTTTTTTCCTGACAGTTTTTATTTAATGGCTAAAATATTAAGTATCCAGTGAACCTTTAACTTTAAAAGTCAACTGCAAAACAAGCAGTCACTACTTGTAAGCACATTTGAAATGTTTGACAAAATAGCAGTTCATGCTGAAGGAGCTGCTTTTAGAAATTAAAACACTTCCATTTTACCGCAGTGGATCAATCTAGTTTGACTAAAATTAAGTTAGAATATTGGTCTCAAGTTGTATTTTAAATACTCAGCCTAATTTCAATTAGATTTCTCAGCTTCTTTAGATAGCCCAATATAACGGAATAAAATCCACCACAAGTTTTTAATGTGCTTTATATCGACTGTAAAATAGACATCAGCAATTGTGCCCTACATTATCGCAATGGAATTGACATTATTTCCAATATTTCAAATCTAAATAAGTATTTTTTGTCAGACTGTTCACTGTCCGGTTATATTGGGAAGCAGATCTGCAGTCTAACGGTAATTCTGATCATAATTTCTTGCTATGTGTCCCAGGTTGAGTTAGAAACTTAAAAATGTGTGCCATCCAAATAATGCTGAAGCCCCCATCTATTTCCAGGTATGCAATTATTCCTTGAGATTTCAATCACACTTAACCATGATGGTTAGGTAAACACATTCCTACATTAGAGATTCAAGACTTCAATTTGTTAGTCCAGTGCTTGGGAAGTCATGCTAGAAACTTTGCATGTTTGTTTAGATTCAGTATGTCTTGAAATGATGAGAACCACAGCAGTTGGCCATGAGACTATTTATGAAAGAGATGAAACATTGTTTGTTTGTAATTTATACTTTGGGCAAGATTCTTCCACATGTCAGAGCTTTGCTTGGCAAGAAAGAGATATTGTAGTGTTGGCCAGGGACCTCCAAGGTTCAAGGCCAACACTAGCTGCATTGGAACTTTGGGGTGTTGCACCCACCCCTGACATATATTATGCTAAAGCCACAGAAGGCAATGTCAAAGAAATTGGCTTCATCGCTTTACTTCTACTGCCTTCTTGTATGCCTGGCTGGAGGATGAAAGTAGCAATCTACTTGTGCGAGCAAAGAGCCTCTTACACTAAGGGAATATTTTTGTCATGTACTTTTGGCTAGACTGCAGCCCCTTTACACTGTTAAAGCAACATATCTGTGATAAAATCATTAATGTATCATTGAGATGGTGCCGTGATCATCTTCTTCCAGTATCACCCACTGCTGTTGAGACTCTTAAACTTGTCTTGGCTGGGAGACAGAACCAGGTACTTGTGGTCCCAAATGCTTTCTCTTTGGCTTATTCTGAAATATCTTAAACAGACCAACAATTACACTGTTGCATTTACACTATCATAAAAGTAAGCCTTTGAGGTGTGCTAAGATTGCACTACCTTAAATTATGTTATTTTAAACACCCAACATTGCTGACATTCTTGGTCCTTTTGTGCCTACATCCTGTGGTCCTCTTCCTACTATAGACTTCACTTCAGAATGTTCTTTTTAAACCTCCTGCAGGATGACATTAGCAGACCCCTTTCTTCTTGTGACAGTATCACAAGACTTCAAAACTGCTTTTATGTTGTGATATGAGAACCAAATCAACATTCATATGCTGTCAGTCAGAATTTGGACTTCAAATTTACCATTGAGCTCTCAGCAAAAATGTAGATTTTCTCCTCAGATATGTGATTGAACAATGAATATATATATATATTTTTTTTTTTTTCCTGGAGCCAAGGTGTAATCATTAGGACTAGTTTAAATAGCTAGAAACACCAAAAACTTCTTTTATTGTAGGTAACTGTTGAGTCTGGCTAGAGCAAGAATGGTGATGAGGATCTTGCCCTTGGAATAATGGATGAACAATGGAATTTGGGTGTAAAGCAGGAGGTGTGGCTGCATTTAGTTGTGGTGCAAATAAGGCTGGGATATATGCAGTATGTGGCAGTAGGGGGAAGTTCAGAGGGGAAGAGTGAATGGGGGTGGTGGAGACCAAGTGCAATGGGTGTCCTGTCAGCAGAGCAGGATGGGTGGGAATGAGGGCTGGTGCTAATGGAGAAAGTGATATAGGGGCAAAATGTGCCTGAGAGAGGGGATGGAGGTGTGCCAAGGAGAGATGGCTGCCATGGGGGTGTACAGATGCTGAGACAGCAAAGCGTTGCAGCAGTGTATGGTGTATGGTGGTGACTGTTGCGTGCTGCTGAACAGGGATGGCAGGAACTGCTGGTGTTGCAGAGAAGGCAGCTGGTCCTGGGGTGGGCAAAACTTGCAGGTGTTTTGCCAGGAGTTGTTTCTGCATATGCTGCTGGGCTTGCAGCTGCAACAGCCTGTATTTGTCTACTTCCTCTGGTGAGAACATTATAGGCTGCTGCATTAAAGGAGGGGAGATGGATTTACTGTACACTTCCCGGTCATCTACTGTGTCATTGTACTTCTGCATAGCATTATCACAAACAGAGTTTGAACTTCCTTCTGCCCGGTTTGAGTCCATGTTCACATCATGTAGTTCTTCTTTGGTCTCTGTTGAATTAGCAACAACAGAATATCTTTTAGAGGGAAAAGCACCAGGGAAATCTTTTGGTACTGGGTCACAGCTTTGTATAAAGGGTTGTACTTCACTAATGAAGAGATTGGATCGTTCCTTTATTGCCGTGTTCCTTTTTATGCTCGGGTTCTGATAGCCTGTTCCCATCTGAACAATGTCTTTAAAAAGACAACGATCATAATCAGTGCCTGTTGAAAGAGCAACATGGGTTATCTCTGAAGTGTCACGTTTGTTTTTTTCCAATGAACTTCCACTTTGCCCTATGTCATTTTCACCAATGTTTAGCAGTTTCTCTGGCAAAGGTAATGTATCATCTACTGATGATGAAAACTGAAGTTCGAAGTGACGTTGTGACAGATCCTTTATTTCTCTACCAAACGTGTTTGAAAATCTCTCTGAATCGTGCAGTTGTTCCTGGATTTTCTTAGACTGCACCCTTTCTAACAGTAACTTGGCTGTCAGTGACTTTCTTCTTCCATGTACATCTTTTGCTGAGGTTTCTGAAGAGCAGGTAGTAAAGTCTTTTGACTGGCTATCTACTTTCAGAGATTCATAATGTGCAATTTCAGCTTTTCCTGTGTTGATGTTAGAATCTCTTTCTGTGTCCTCTCTTGTTTTGTTCTCGTAATTGTCATATTCTTCTGAGAAAGATCCTGCACTTCTTTCTCTTGATATTCTGCTACAAGACGATCGATCGCTGCTTCTTGAATCTGTGGTGGAAAAACTTTTGGAGTCATTGTAACTTCTGCTTCTACTGTGCACTTTTCCAAAATGCCAGTGTCTACATCTGCTGTGTTTAGAACCATCCCTGTGCTGTAAAACTTTATGTCTTGACCATTTTTTATGTTTAATTGTGCCCCTCTGTGTGCAGTTTCTACTTCTGTGACATCTAGTATGGCAAAGATAATCCTTATCTGCATCATCAGAAGTGAAAATACAGTTGTGCTTTCTGTGTTTACATTTGTGCCATTCAGCTGTCTTGGTTTTTCTTTTGCAACAAAAAAGCAAATGATTTCTGCTGTGATTGTTCAATGTGGGACTGGAGGAACTGCTCATGTAGCTACTTGTGCTGCTAACCGAAGTATCAGAATAGCTGGAATGTCTGTCAGAGCAGGATTTTTGAGGAGAAGGGAATCTCCAACATCTTGAGTAATTTTCACATCCTCCATTTTCTGAATGCCTGCTATTTGAACCAGATTTATAACTAAGGAAACTTCCACCAGAATCTTTTCCACTATCGCTTACGTCACTGCTGCAGCTGGCAACATTCTGAATGGGTCTGCAGCCATTTTGGGTTTCATGTTTTTCCTCAGAATAAATTAAATCACACTTTTCAGCCTTAGATTTTTTTATCCTGGCCATAAAAGCAGAAAAGGAAATGCTTTCATTTCTTATGCTCTGTTTTTTTCTTTCACAGCTATGGAAATGATGCCGTAATGATCTTTTCAGTGTTGTTGTATGAAGACCTTTTTCTGCCGTAGAATCCTTTTGTGAGACAGGCACTTTGGGTATATTTTCATTCAAATAATCCGAAATGTATTTTTGACCATTTTTGTTCATCTCTTTCCCTATGTCTGACTCAGCTTTTTGCTTGGCCTTTCTTGGATTTAGGGAACCTTTCATCTTCTTTGGTTTCAACAACTGATTATCTTGTTCATTTGACGTTTGCTTGTGTTTTATTAAACCTGAGGGTTCATTTTCATCTGCAGTCTTATTTATAGAGTGCTCTTTACAGCCTTCTTTGCTTGTTTCATGCTGTTTACTATCTCTGTGATTTAATGAGAGTCTGAAGTCAAAATACAGTGGATTACAGCCATATGAAATACAGGGCTCAGTTTTTGTAAACAAAAGTAATTCTGTTGGCCACTGCAGAGCAGTGCTGCCATCCTTGCTCACTACGTGGATGAAAGGCAGTGGCTGGAGCTTAGCCTCTTTAACCACTGTCTCCCTTGGAAGCTTTTCCATATTCCTGTTTTTAATTTCTGAAGTCTCTAATGACCTTTCTCTCTTTACCACCCTAGGACAGTCATTAATGTAGCTTGCACATGTCAGCTCAGGTGATAGCTGTTGGGGGAGCTCAGAGAGGTGTGCATTGCTGTGCTTGTAGGTATCTGATTGTATACAGAAACTGCTAGCTTTGCATGAAGGTGAAATGAGTGTTTCGAACAATTGCTCAGACACATTCAATTTGCTTTCTTGTTCCGTTTCTTTTACTGAACCTGAAAAATCCAAATTTGAGAACTGCATTTTGACTTTGGAAAGTGAAGGATGAGCACTGACTTTTTCTTCTATTTCTCTAACATTACATTTATCATTTTCTTTCAACATTTTAAGTTTCACAGCTCCATGACTTGATGCACTGTAATCCAAATCCATTTGGTCTTGTGGAATTGGTGGTCCTTTATCTAGACTTGCTTTTACATCCTCTTCCAAATATATACCAGAATGACAGCTCTCAAGAACTTGCTTCGTTTTATGATTGGGGGATTCACTATAATCATTTCCTTCTTCAGAGTTCTCACTGAAGACTGATGCTGAGGATTCAAGCTTCAAAGGGACTTTTTTAGAGAATGAGAAAGACACTCCTGTTCTTTGAGAAGCGCTGCTACTGTCTGGGAACACTTGTGAAACTTGATTTCCAAGCACGTGGAGCCTTTCAGTAGGTGACTGGTGCCTGCTTATGATAAGCTGCCGTTTTTCTAGTATGCTGCTGGAGAAACCTGTATTTGTGGTGGTGCTTTGAGATTTCGCTGTGACCTTGCCACCTTTGTAGAGGAAAAATGCATCTGGTGATTGCTGCTTTTCAACTAATCTGGGGGCTTTAAGTGTTGGCCCACTTCCAGCAATGCTGTAAGAAAACAAACATGGCTGAATTAATTAAGTAACCAAACTAAAACAGAACTCACACTTGACAGACAATACCTGTCTGGTAAGGAAAAGTGTTACTTATAGGCACTTCCATTCGTAGCATCTCAGAATCACTCTTTAACAGAAAAGGCAACATTCTGCTTGATATGTGTGTCTGTGTAGGTATGATTTCTTTTTGATGAGAAAATTTTATTTTACCTTTATATTATTCCACAATAGATGATTTTGTGAAATATTCAAGGAAATAGTAATGCTAAGACTATCTCCAAACATTGGTGGGGACAAGGTCAAAAGGTGGAGTTCCCTTAATACTGATGACAAATTCAGCACTCTCATTATCACTACCATTTGACTTTGTCATATTTTCTCCTCCCATACTGTCTTTCAATTAATCTTCCTTCTTCCCAAAAACCTCAGATGTTAAATCCATGGTTTACTTTTCTTGTACTTCAATACAAAATAAATCAACCTATTCTAAGAAAATGTAAAAGACGTGGTTAAAAAAGCGATTGTTGATTGCTTTTAATAGAAGACTAGCTGAATGGAGTTATTGGAGTAACTACTGTTTTGGTTTTTTTTTTTCTCCATTAGAGATGTATGTAGCCACCAGATTATTCTAATTAATATTTAAATATGCATTTCACTGGTTACGTTATCTACATTTGCTATCAAAACCATACTACAATTTGCTTTCATAAAAAAAAAAATAATAATAATTGGAACCAGCATCAGCAAACAATTTGATTAAAAAATTGAAAATATTTTAATTAAATGCAAGTAAATTGCAACAGCCAGATCAGCATAGAAGTTATAAATAGTCTGGCATGTTTTAGACATGCTGTAAAAAAGCACTGATCTCCAGCAGCGGGACCAATATAAAGACTCCCTGGGGTAGGTTCACCTCAGAATATGAGATTATATATGCGTTTCTGAGAATAAATTTGCATTTGCCACAAATTTAGCATCAGGGAATACAAATCCATCTCTATTTCTAGATCAAGAAGAAATTCTGTCTTGTACAAAGTGAATGAAAAGAGTCTTTGCAATGTCCCATTGGAATAGCAAAGTAAAGGTATTTTTTCAAATTTCCTGAGCACCAGATTAACAGTAATTTTATTGTCAGTTTTTATTAGCATGTTGTAAGGAACTCTGTTGGAATGTGAGATGCGTTACTTGGGGACAATAGCAGTTGTTTGCATGTGCAGACATCTTGGGAAAGCTGACTTCTGTTTTGCCAGAGCAGTCAGGTGTGTGACCCCTCAGCCAAGATCACATCCCAGCTGTCCCTGACCCATCTGTCATTACCAGTAAGAGCAAACTCTGTCCTTCCGGGCTCTCTGTAATCGATTTTAGATTCCTAGTTCTTTCTATAAGCAGACTCAGTTCCCTTCCTGCCTCATTTAGACCTTCCTATTACTACTGACCTTATCAGTCTATCTGAAACTACATCTTCAGATACACAGACATAAAGGCATCTTCCCTCAGGCTGTTACTTTTCTTTACGTAGATTTGTATGAAAATGGAGTTGTAACCATAAAAGTGATACATTAGCAATAAACTGTTATATTTCAGCTGAAATTTCAAAAGCAATTACATTGGCCAAAATGAGTGTATAATAAACACTGAATTTTATTATTTCTAAGGTACTGTAAGCTTGATATGAATTTAAAAGGATGCTAGTTTAATTATCTACTTAACCCATTACAGTCATAGATTAACATAAGTAATTGGTCTGGTAGAAATCTATTCTACTGAAGATTCAGTGTCATTAAACAAAGGAGATTTCTCAAATGCGAAGCTTCATTAGTGTAAACTTCATACTGTATCATGGTATTCATCAATAGAACTAACACTACTGGGTTAATTAAGTAAGTTAATTACTTGTTTTTCATTTGTATAATGATATTTCCATTAGTCTACAGAAAAAAAAAACGGTGATAGTAATCTCAATATACTGAAAGTAATGAAAATGATTCACAGACCAGGCATGCATTTGCTAAAAAGTGTTTTTCCTCTTATGTTAACTTACTATAAAATGATAAGACAGTAATACTTATCTACTCAGGTCAGTTTTAATGAAATAAAATGGTGATATAAAATCATCTTCAAACCAGTCAGTTCACAAGAGATTAGATTAACTGGTTACAGGAGGGTAAAACACAAGCCTTCAAATTGCAAGTAATTAATTCAGGGACTTTCAATTTTATGCTTTGTGGAACAGGAACATTAGGAGTTGGGGACAGCTGAAAACAGGTTGCAATAAATGCAATGCCTGTCCATTAGAGAGTAGAGGAGTAAAAATTTGAAGATTTCTTCTGGGATTGAGGAAAGTGGGTATTAAATGTAGTATAAATTTTAAATACTTGCCATTCTGACTGTTTCCGTAACTCTGCGAGCTGGTGGAGCCGCTTGAGTGCTTTTTCCTGTTTCTTTTCATCTTTCCATGACTTTGAAGCCACATTTCGAGCAAATTCCCTTTGTTTTAAATCTTTCAATCTCTGTTTGAAAAGAGCAAAAAGAGAAGGGACAAAATATGTAAACAGTGGGTTACCTCTTACTGAATTTGCTTTTGGTGAAATTAGTATACAAATGGGCAGTAAGAATATACTTAAAATGTTATCATCCTAAGAACAGACTGAAAATACAATTTTGGCATAACAAAATAATATGGTTGGGCCAACACTAGTCAGCTCATTTATGACATTATATAAATGAAGACTTCGTTAATACAGATTTTAATACTGAAATACATTTGTCTTATGCATGCATACGTTTTCTGTTGCGTACAAATACATACATAAAAGCAGCCTTCATTTAATTCAGTTAGAATTTTCCAGTCAAATCCAGTCAGTGCAATTTAATCCATGTACTGGATAAAGGTGAGCTTTTGACTATAATGGATTGTATAGGTCTCTATACTTGCACACATATACATGTGTGTGTCTCTGTTCATTTTGTAACTTTTAAAGACATTTGTTACTCAGAGGAGAGAACTACTCCTGAAAGATTTCATCAGGAAACTCTTCTATGGTTATATTCAGCATTTTTTTGAATAATCTCATACATCTATAAATCACATCATTACTATTGGAGAAAGGAAGATGATTTGCCTATATTTCTTTATTACATGGTTTTCTGGTGTGATAGAGTAAGACAAAGTAAAGAAGACAGAAAACAGGAAACGTCAGAAATATCCTCTTCAAAAAAGTGGTGCTTTGAGTTCACTGTGCTCTCCGGCACTCAATGAGCAGTACACAATCTTATTACCCTGGAGCATGTAATTCCTGTTAAGGTTCATGTTTCAGTGCTCCATAGCCGAAATTCCATGCTCCACTCATGACCTTCTGTGCTGTGGTGCTCAGGGAAGGGAGGTTTAAATGTCAGAAGTGAGCTCTTGTGCATTCAGCCACACCTCCTATCTATCACCCTAAAGGACAAGGAAAGAGATGTGAACCCCTGAGGTTAGCAAGGCCCTGCATGGATAGACTGGATCAATGGGCCTTGGAAATAAATGATTGCTCCACCACTTACATCTTTTTCCTTTCCCCGTCCCTGTCCATTTGCCGCTTGCCTTGCCAGTCACACAGCATTCAGTTCCTTCAAGTCCATTGCCTCCAATTTACAGTAAAGTAGATCAAAATGTGAAACAATGTTAGTTTTGGTCCAAAGAAGAAATCTGGTTTTAGTAACATATTAAAGCCAAATCTGTAAAGTAAATCAGAGAATCTTTCCACTAGATATCCACAATTTCTATCACCTTTCATATCTATGTGAGTATTAAGATATTTAAGGAGTAATGATTCAAATCTCTGTGAAACTAACTAACTAACTAAATAAAAACAACCAATACAGGGAGCCTGAACCTTATTAGCATCTTTCATGTGAAGAAAGGGCAAAGAAATACATTTAAGAGATGTCCGTTAGTGCTGCTTGCTGCGTTTTAGCTGTCACTGTGAACTCTTCTGTATCACACATAAAGCATTCGTGAGGAAAAACAGAAACAGTTACTACCTGTCAAGGAAACAACAATGTGAAAGCTAGTACTATGGAGCATGGGTATTGCGAAGCAATGCATTTCACTTCTTTGACAGTTAGGATGATAATCAGCAAAGCAAATGGACCAACACTAAGAATAGAAGTCCTAGTGGTATTTTTTGCTCTCTAATGGCATATAGCATGTGTCAAGGAAGAAGAGAAAAGAATAAAAAACTGTAGGTAAGCATAGCCAAGAACTCATCAGTTGGAGATGAAATCCAAGAAATCAAAAGCATCTGCAGTTTGAGCAGAGAAAGGTCTCTCCCTCCACATGCCCTCATCAGAACAAAGAAGCTTCACGGCCAGAGATCCAGTTAGGAACTGTAATGGAATTTGTCATTATGTTGGACAGACAATGGGATTGCCTACTGAACCTGCAAAAGCCAGTTTTCCTCTCTAATAACCTGTGCCACCCTCCTTTCAGACACACAAATATCTTCCACATGTGGTGAACAAAAGCATGCACCTGAGCTGGTTCCTGAATGACAACCCCTGAGCTCAGCAGGTGTGCCTGAAAATTAACAGAGCTTTACACGGTAATTGCATTTTGCATGTAATAGGGTACTTAACTGGGCATCCAAATACAGGCATGTATCATAAAATATGATTTATTTAATTGCAATGATGTGTTCTGTCCTTCACCTGCTACAAATTTCACTGCCATGGAATCGTATTTCATTTTTAGACATATTCTATTCTTTCTGTTTTTCATGTAAATGTGCATGTGGACACTGCTATATCTAAAAGTAACCTTCCCTTCCCTTCCCTTCCCTTCCCTTCCCTTCCCTTCCCTTCCCTTCCCTTCCCTTCCCTTCCCTTTCCTTTCCTTTTTGTAAAACCCCACACAAAATATTAAAAGAACACAAAGTAATGTTCTCTGTTTTAGAATGACTTGCTTATATAAATGGGTCTGAGTCACGTTGGCTCATCTATCTAAGTCCCACTCAAAAATTGCTGAATATGTTTTTTTCTCCTAAACTCCTGCATGACTCAAATCAGCAGATTCAAATTAGTCAATGGAGTTCCATCTTCACTACCTATCTTTGCTAGATACATTACTAACCAAACACTCTATCCACACTTCAGCAATTTCTGCAAATTCTTAATTTATCTATTTATTTATTTATTAATTGCTGCTTCATTATGGCCAGTACACCTGTAGCATACATATCACTGGCTGCAATTGTGGTAGTGAGTTTACTTGCTTTCCAGAGTTATGACTCTGATTGTTTTTTCTTCATGTGAAGGGGAGAATTTTTATGGATTGCCATTCAGCCAATCAAATTTGGATGCCTGTGGCTGTTTCTCAGCTTTTCTAACAGCTACTGAAGAAAAATAAGCCCTTTTAGGGATGTAATCACCTCATCTTAAAGCAGCTGTCTAAAAAAAGTGGGATAAAGTGAGATGTAAAAATAACTTCTTTTCAATGGATGCAGATGGCATTAATGGTGACTATCTCAGACAAACAGCTTTTGATAGACAGAGGAAGACTGTGCTGTTGGTACATTGTCATTGCTACAGATAGTATTCATGTCTACAAGTTCACTAAAAGACTATGCTTTATTAATCTACTTTTGGCATATATAAAACAAAGTCAAGAAAGACAGTTGGTACTTTAATATAAGCCATTGATAAGATTAGGATTTTATAATCTGCACTTCAAAGAGATTCATTTGATAGAGGATACAGAGAAAAAAAATTGAAGAAAGTGCAGTCATTAAAGAGCACAAATACATTGAGAAGCATAAAGAAGATGTGCACTGTTGTCTCATTCCTGATTTCTTAGCCATCTCCTTGCCAGATTTTTCAGACCTCTTTCTCAAGGAGGTCTTTGGCTTCAAGAACCCTTTTTATCATTTTTCTCATGCACTTTCTCACAATTTGAGGACCAGAGGGAACACACTGGGGGAGAGAATGTCACCTTTTCAGAATTCTGCTAGAGGTCATGTTCAACTTCTTACAGAGATCAATGTGGAATTCTCAGAGTACCTCTACTTCAGCTACTGGAGCAAATAGGTGTTCCTGCAAGTACATTTAGAAAAATGTATTCTTCTTCACAATGGTGAAACTACTCTGATTTTAATAGAAGGCAACTTTGGAATAAATCTGTTAAAATTTCACTTATTAAATCAGAAAATGTCAGGTCAGTATGAGAAACATGACTTTATCCACTTACATTCAGTTGTTTTTTTCAGAATATCATTCACACTTGATGCATCCCACAAAATATTCTTTACTATAAAACACTAGACCCCCAGATAAAAATGTAGTATGTCCTTCTGCTAATTCAGTCAGCATGTGGCATATGTGTCCTGCCACACGCAAATAGCATTTTCTGAATCTTAAGTCCATAAACTAACATATGTGTTTGAGTGCATGATTGGCTTCACTTCTTTGAAAAGCACCTTGAGTTCTAATCACCATAGAAGGCTCAAATGAGAAACAGGATGGAGTATGATTTTCAGTAATTACTGTCTTGCCTGTAACCCTAACATTGGAACCAAGTACATTATTTGTAAATTGAATTTACATTGCAAACCATAACATGAGAATGATAAGAGTTCACGGCTGATGCATACAGTATTAGTCTCCAAGTGAAAGAGAAAAAAACAGCAGTGAAGGAATTTGCTTTAGTATGGTAAACTCCTAAAAATAAATGTGAAAGGCTGTTACAAGAATTTACATTGAGATATGAAACTCAAAAATTGCCTTAGAAGTTTTCATATATTTTATACATAATTATTTACAGATCACTTTGAAATGTGTGATAATGACCATTTTTTGGAATAGATTTTATTATAGCCAGTCTTGTTGGTTTGGGGAATGAAATGATAGTACGGGGGGAAAAATGTTAATTCCTAGACATGCCCTACAGAATCCAATCATGAATGAGTAAGTTTTTGATCACAGATCCAATTAAAAGGAGAATTACAAGTAGGTATTTGGAGGACTTGTTTTCACTTTTCTCCATAGAATCTGTCCCTAAATCCTTGTAGAAAGATCTGATATTTTGCAATGGGTCTTGGTGCCAGAAAGTAAAAAGATCTACTGCTTATCTGTAATTTTTTTTTTTCTTCTTTTTTTTTTTTGTGGGAACTTCTTACTGTTCAGCCATATCAGCAAATATTCTTGCTAATTATACTGATTTCACTCACTGCCCAGATTATGAGTTTGAACTAATGCACAGGGTACATTTGTATAGCACGTGAGAAATTACTAAATACAGTTAAAATAGATGGATTTCAGGGGGCCATTTCCGCATGGGAGAGGACAGAACAGGCAATTTGCGGCAGCAATTCACTCATTTGAAGGCCTGAGCTATTTGTGGGTTCAGCATATGCTCTTCTTGACCACCCACATTTATATCATTTCCAATGAATTTGTTGTCATATGCTCCAGCAAGCTGGCTGGATACTGAATGATGTGATTAGACACATTCAGTACCATTTTGGAGCACAGAGTA